TGTACAACTCATCCTTCATTTTTCCTAGATTTTCTTCTAAGGTAATATGTGTGTGATCAGCCTTCTTCTTACCTGTTCCTAATTTCAGTTTTAAATTTTCAGATCTAAGTTCTAAGATACTAGTGTCAAGTTCAAGAACCTGGTTCTTCAACTCAGTATTTTTACTATCGCTGTCACTAGCCCTAGATTCTAGATTTTTGCACTTGGCTTTTAAGATCACACACTCCCTAGACAGCTGTTCCTTCTCATTGTTTATTACCTCAGACTCATCAATTAAGTCTAGCAATAATTCAGATAACTTTTCTTTAGACAAAAATTTAATCTTGTCTTTGAGATGAGTCACACTTACCTCTTGTTCATTATCTGATTCTCCAATGGCCATAAGTGCTTGTTCATCTCCACCTTCATCTTCTGAATCCTCATATGAGGTTTCTCCCCAAGCAGCAACCATAGCCTTTGTTGATCCTTTGTTCCTTATGGGTTGAACCCGTTCCTTCTTCATGTTCCTTCGTTCAGCCCTTTCCTTCTTCCATTCGATTTCCCACTGAGGACAATTCTTGATCATGTGGTCAGTCTTGCCACATTTGTAGCAGCCCTCGTTGGTCTGTTTCTCAGGAGCCCTTGGTTTGTTGAAGGTTGTACCTCTTGAAGAACCCTATCCTCTCATCAAGTACTTCTTGAAATCCCTTGTGATCATGGTCATTTCATCATCCTCTAGATCTGCACCTTCAGCTATTGTGAGAGCCAGGCTCCTTTCCTTCTTGGGTGCATCCATTTTCATGGTTTGCCTTCTCAGTTCATAAGGAGTGAGATCTCCAATCAGCTCATCCAACTTAAGAGTAGCAATGATCTTTGATTCCTGAATAGCAGTGATTTTGCTTTCCCAAGTTACTGGTAATACCCTTGTTAGGATTTTCTCAACCTTGTCTTCTTCAAGGATAATTCTTCCAAGAGATTTAAGTTCATTTGTTAGTATTGTGAACCTTGTGTACATCTCCTGGATAGTTTCTCCTTCCTTCATGGTGAAATTCTCATATTGAGAATATAACAGTGTTCCTCTTGATCTCTTTACTTGAGGAGTTCCTTCATGGGCCACTTGTAGAGTGTCCCATATCTCCTTAGCAGTGGTACAACTTTGAATCCTGTTGTACTCGTCTGGACCTAGTCCACACACAAGCCATTTCTTGGCCTTGGAATTCTTTTCCCATTTCTTCAAATCTTCCGCAGTGCAGTCAGCTCTTGTCTTTGGCACGTCCACTCCCTCAGCATTCTTCTTTGTAGTAGCCAGGGGACCATCAGTGACTATGTCCCAGAGTTCATAGTATTCTCCTATGATGTGGTCTCTCATCCTGTTCTTCCACCAAGAATAGTACTGACCATTAAAGAGTGGGGGCCTAGCAGTGGATTGTCCTTCCCAGTTTTCAGGTGGTGCACTCATCTTGATCTGTTCCTAAGGTGTTAACCTCTTCAAGGATAACCTGCTCTGATACCAATTGATGTTTTATACTTCAATACCACACAAGAGGGGGGGGGGTGATTTTTGTGGTACCCAATTTTTGCTTAACTTGATTATAGAAGGACCTGGTTCTTCTATGTGTTCCAACTACTACTGTTTGCAGAATAATAAGTAAAGAAAATAAAGAACACAGAGATTTTTACGTGGAAACCACCTGGCTCAAAAGGTGAAAATAACACGACCAACTACTCAGTAGGATTTTCCCAAACTTTCACTAAAATCACTGAGCCAAAAACTGCATTTACAAAAACTCTTTTGTAAACCTAGGATTAACTCTAATCCCGTTGTGCCACACAGCCTCAACTGCAGCGACAACTTCAAGTTAACTCTAACTTGAACACTCTAAGCACCTAATACAATTGCTTCTATAAAAGCTGAAAGGTACAATGTAAAATCACCTACTACAATTGAACTAGAATAAAAGATAAACACTTGGAACTGGTTCTTCTATCTGGTTCAAGTAGCTTCAGGATTGCACGCTTGAATCACACATAAATTGCTTGCAAAATTGCCTTGCTATTTTTCACTCAATTCACGTTTAACTTCTGCTTATGTGCCTTACCTTTAAAAGAGAACAACACTGATATTTAAGGAGTTAGTCATAAGAGATTGACTAGGATACAGATGCTACTCTTCCATCGTGAAAGAGTTCTAGTTGATCTCATACTCTAACTCTTATCCTTTTCTTAAACCATGTTCTCTTTGTATAAGGAGTCTTTCTCCTTATCCAATATGCAACCTTGTCGATCATGATCAAGAGATATCACTTTTGATAAGTTAGGCTTATCTCCTTCACGTGCATCTCACATGTTTGGGTTGATCACTACTGTGCCTCACAAGATGGACCTGGTCCATGACTGAGTTCTTTTGTCAATCTTCAAAACTTCACTCTTACTTGGGCCAACACCAATCCTTGCATTTGTATTAGCATTACTGTCTCGCGCATCTCGCCCTTTTCCGAACTTGGATGATGAACCCGCATCTCTATATCTTGATCTAGAATCATACCATATGTTTTCTTGCTTAGACCGTGAATCCCTTCCTGTAGGTCCGATGTAAGGTTCGTACTTATTTTTACCGGACCTTTTTTCAGATTCTGATCGTCTCGAACTTGTTCTTTCATGACCTCTTACCTGAGTGATCGTGTCTTCTTCTATCAGCAACTTTGTGCTGTACCTACTGTACACATCATTCCATGTTGTGGAAGGGAATTCTCGTAAGCTTTCCTTAAGTCTCCTCATGGCTTCTGAGCTTTTTTCATTTAAGTTACTTGCAAACGCCATAGCTGCCCAATTATTAGGTACTCGTGGTAGCATCATCCTTTCACGTTGAAATCTATCCACAAATTCCCTGAGTAGCTTAGTATCCCATTGTTTTATTTTAAAGATGTCTTCCATCCTCTTCTCAACTTTTTGAGCTCCCGAATGTGCTTTTATAAATGAATCTGCAAGCTCAGCAAAATAATCAATAGAGTTTTCAGGTAAGAGAGAATACCATGTTAGTGCTCCTTTCGTGAGTGTTTCACCAAATTTTTTGACCAACACTGATTCAATTTCTTGCTTGATTAAATCGTTGCCTTTCACGCCAATTGTAAATGTTGTTACGTGACCTCGTGGGCCGGTTGTTCCATCATATTTTGGAATATCAGGCATTTTAAACTTCTTAGGAATCGACAAAGGTGCTTCACTTGACTTCCAGGGCTTTTGTAAATATTTATCAATATCTACTCCTTTAATCACGGGTGGTACGCCAGGTATTTGTTCTATGCGATCATTCTGCTCTTTCATCTATTTCTGCAAAGTTAGTACCAAACTTTGTAAATAAGAATTATTGGGTGTACCTGACCTTCCATCTCGAGATTCACTGGGAGTTCCTCCGCTTTCTGAATTAGCAAGCCCCGAGCGTGGATTTTCTATAGTCGCGGTATTATTTGGAGGAGGAGTTGGTGGCGTAGTTGGCAATCCACTAACAAAAGCTTGGAGGGCGTTGTTGACATGTTCTGCTATTAAATATTTTAATGCGTCATGTTCGGCAGTCTGCTCGTCCCCTTGTTGATCATTCGTATGTGATGTTAATCTTTGAGGTGTTCCCTCTCGGGACTGTCGAGGAGATTCTTGTGGTGAAGGGATTGGTGTAGTTCCTCCCTCCTGTTAGTTTAGTTGGTTATTGTCGTTGGCAGTTGGCATGATTGTTTGTTAGAAAAGTGAATTTGGAAAGTGAAAAGATTGTCAGAGTCCCGGTAATGGAACCAATTTGTTTAACCAAAAACAAGTCTTCGGGTCAAAATCTAATTTTACAAGAAAACGGGTTACTGAACACCAAGTTTTACTTCACTTTCACAATGATATCAAAGGAAATTAATAAAAATAACTTAGGAAATCATTGATAGACAAATTGCAAAATGAGGGTAGAGAATTTCGAGAAAGCAGAAAAGTAAAGAGTGTATTACAATATTGTCTCCGATCTGTCCCTACAAATAGAATTTTGTGCCCTTATATAGAAACATACAATAGTAACGATTTTTCTCATATAATTTGGGTTGATTATGGGCATTAATGATATTGATTGCCTATTATCTCAGATATCTATAACTGGCGTATTTATTGCTATAAATGCCTCATATCTGTTTCGATTCCCCTTCCTTATTTACTTCCGGTTCATGTACCTTTACCTCTTTTTATTCTTTATTCATTCCGTCCTCATTTATTCTTCGCCAACTGTTAGGTCCGGTTCTCTTTTCCGTACCGTCTCGGGGGTATTTCTTCCCGTGCCTTCTCTTCCCTGTCAATTAAGAAATCCACTTGTCGCCATATTATTGTTCCTCGTGCCATGCCATGTCAGCATTCCAATATTCCACATGTAAGGCTTTTTCACCACAATACAACAGTATCTCAATGCCTAGTTAAGATAGGTACAAAATGGTCTATACACCATCTTTACAAAAGAAGAAAAAACATACATAAAGCCTCCTCTTAATATTTGGTTTTAGGCCACCAATACTGCTGAACCGCCCCCGGGTACTAGCTACCCTGTATTGCTCGGACTTCTAAAAAATTATATCATACCCGTATTAGATCTTTCAAAAATATACTACTTTTAGAGGATCCGGCGGCAATATTTTTGACGAGTACATAGATGAAAAAGACATTAATGTTGGTGCGATAATGGCCGCTACTTGACAAGACTGATGAAGACGAACCAATTGATGAAGATGAAACCAATATTACTTCAGCAATGTCCATTAGATACTCTGCGCTGCATACACAATTAATGAGTAGCTAGTTTGTACATTTAACTGTATGTATTAATGCCTATATGGAATTTCAATAATAGCCGGCGAGTTTTTTAAACAGCTCCTGAATCCTGTACTCTATGGACAGGTTCATAAGGTGGCAACTGTGGGTGTATCTTAGTAATCTTAAATTGAATTGCAAACTTTATGGATGTCTATTCTTCCTGTGAACAATATTTATTACACTCCATGAAGTAGGAAAAGTAGAAATCTTATTGTATATAAGCATTGGTAATTTACAATTAAATTTTGCCCTCGCAAGCCGATTATAAGTTACATTTTTGTGCTACGCTGAGGAGACTACGCTTGAGTTTCATAACAATGAGCAATCCTCAGTTCTCCAAAATTCCTAATACATTGCATACTAAATATCCTACTGGTGTATAACCTTTTTGATGTCTCTATAGATTGTTATACTCTTATGAATAATACATAGCAATTCCCACGAAATATTCTGAAAGAATAGGTGGCTTCAGGCAATATTTACAAGCCTTTTTACCTATGCATATCTACCTATCTAGTTTGGAAGTTCAATGTCTTAATAGCGTAAGCGTACATAAAGGCGAAAAAGGCTGCAAAACCAACCAAAACCACGGCAACTGGCGCCATGAAGTCCGGATTGTATCCGAAATGATCTTTAATGTAGTCCTTAATCCTTGGGTCTGGAAACACTCCTGGGACTTGGATAGTATCCTCCACATCACCATACTGTGACACAATGCTACCATAAACAGTCCATGCCACTGGACAGATCCAGTAATACCATATCCACCACTTGGGAATTCTCTGAGATTTTAAATGAGAAATATTAGTATCCCAGTCATGTTCACAATTATTTATATGTTTCAATGCCTGTAAAGAAGATTTGACTTACTGGTCTGGGGATGAAGAAACCGGAGAAAAGATTGAAAAGTGCATAGAAAGCTGCAGCAAAGATCGCGGCTACTTGGTGGTTGGGTGTGATGGAAACGGTCATCATTCCATAGTATGTCCAGTATAGGAAGGAGAAGAAGGTTACAAAATAGAACCAGAAGTATTTAGCTGCCGTCCACTCAAAGCCCACCATACCATACACTATAAGAGTATAGTATGTAGTTTGGACGAGTATATATGGTATTTCTGCAAATACCTACAAGCCAAATGTAATTATAGCAATTACTGAGACTGAGTAAGAAAATATATCCTAAATATATGATATGCATGCTTAGTATGTGTTAGTTTTGTCTTTTTCTTCCCTGGTGCTAGAGTTACCATTTAGTTGGATGATGGTTACCTGTGCCATAGCATATGGTAAAGCTGAATACATCCCAGCAGCCCTTTCTCTATAAAAGACGGTTCTTTCGACGGCTACAATTGGCTGTACGGTCGAACAATTATTGATTCCAACAAACAGCACAGCTGCATACATTGCCCCGATGACTGTCATTAGATCACCACTACTTTTTCTGTAGCACAGAAAAAACAGAAGATGGAGTTAGATTGCCTTTTAGATTGTCTGGTTTAAGCAATCATGTAAAGCCTCTGGGTTAACTTTAATTTAGAGATAGACCTTTTACTGCCAACATTCCAGAAAATTGTCCCAATCAATAGTGCTGCAGCCAGACTAAAGAAGAATCTGACAAGGTTATAGTCTGGACTTCTCCAGTAAGTCCACCATTGCTTCCATAAGCAGGATTTAAACTGACCCCATGTTGGCTGGGAAAATTGTGTGGTAAAATAGAGGTCTTTGGCTCCAGGAGGAGGTGCACTCAACTCTTTGACAAGAGCCTTATTTCGTCTGCATGAAGCCACATACATCATTACTTTCTTTTTTTTGGTTCTGAATGAGCCAAAGACTTTTGCAGTTCACTTATTTTGACTTACTGATGTAAAGCTGATGATCTGTAGTATTCAGCAAAATCCATTCCAAGTCGAGCTTCTGTGCCAATTGAACTCGCTTCTAGCATCCAGGTTGCTGGATTGTATTTCTCTTTAATTTTTTGAACTCCCGGAATTGCCTGCTTTAAATGATTCAATAAGTAAACTTTGCGTTGAAACTCATAAGCAAAAACTGAGGTGGTTATTTAGTAATTTGAATGTATAATTCAGCCATCATTAAGTACCTCGAAATATTCAATAATTTTCTGAGAATGTCGACCCAATGGACCTGCGTAGATTACTTGTCCTCCTCTTTTCATAAGAAGCAGCTGATGTGAAGAAGAAAGCACATATTAGAGAAAGGGGGATTAAGGAGCTAAGAGGCATTTTTTTCAGACTGGGTGGTGTGACAGTTGAGAAGATATCGTGTTTTACCTCATCAAATGCTTCAAATATATCAATACTTGGTTGATGTATTGTGCAGACAACAGTTCTCCCGGTGTCTACTGTGTTTCTTACAGTTCTCATAACAATAGCTGCTGCTCTTGCATCAAGACCAGAAGTTGGTTCATCCATGAATATAATTGAAGGATTCGCGACAAGCTCTACTGCAATGGTCAATCTTTTTCTTTGTTCCGTTGACAAACCAGTAACTCCTGGAAGTCCTACAATTGCATCCTTGAGATTGTCTAGCTCAACCAGATCCATTACTTCATCCACAAAAATCTGAAAAAGAAAAACTTTCAGTATTTATTCACTATAAAACTATTATAACATAATGAGGTGTCGCTCCATACCATCTTATCTTCTTTGCTGACTTCTTTAGGGAGCCGGAGGAAAGCCGAAAATATCAAAGACTCATGGATAGTTACTTGAGGTGAGTGTATATCAGTTTGTTCACAATATCCTGAAACTCTGGCAAATGTTTCTTGATTTTTTGGAAATCCAGATATTCTTACGTCACCTTCGATGTAGCCTCCAGTCTTACGTCCTGCTAGAACATCCATGAGTGTAGTCTTCCCTGCTCCACTGACTCCCATCAATGCTGTCAATACTCCTGGCCTAAATGCACCAGTTACTTCGCGAAGCAATTGAAGTTTGTCCTCTGTCACTCCTTGGTCCTTCATCTCCTGACAAAATCATTAAGTAGATTCTAATTCAGTCATAGAACACGCCCCGATAAGCAGATTGAGGAGCTGCACGGTTGAGCTGATTACAATTCAAGAATTAATTGCGCACTAATTATTGAGAAATGAGTGAAAGGATATGGCTCTTACAGGTGGCATGTCAACAAAATAGCTCACATCCTCGAAGGACATTGCCAGAGGGGTAAATGGCAGTATCATTCCTTTCTTTGCTGCAACACCATTTGCAGCCTCAAGATTTGCATCCTCATTTCTGTAGAGGCCACTAGAACTGGTACGACTGCTCATTCGTCGGATTTCCATTTCTCCTGCAAGAGAATTATATTATTGTAAGCATTACTTATATTCCCCAAACAGATTCTGTGATTGATGGGCTAAAGATCATACTTGTCTTATTTCCATCTGCTGCAGATAAGGATCGAGGGAGATCATCTCTCTTCGACTGGCTGATTTTAAGTCTAGGGCTTCCCGTGCTTTCTTCTTGATCAGCTTCCATATCGCTGGCCTGCTCTTTGGATAGTGTAGCTTGTGGCTTGTTTAAAGCTGATAGTTTGACAAAATATATAAAAGGTTTAGGTAATGCACTAAATAGCAAATCCTATTGTATATTTTAAGGAGGAGTGAGTACTTACGGCTGAGATACATAAGGACTAAGGTGAAAAGAACGTTGAAGAGAATTGTGAACCCTAGAAGAGCAGCAGCACCAATCCAGAACCATCGTCTTTCAGTAAAGACGTCAAAATTTTTCATCACTTGCAGACCCAATCTAGTAGTGCCATCTGGAGCCTGTGATGGATTACATATGGTTATGAACTTCGAAAAATCACATTGTTCCTATCTGGAGTTGCATCATGTTTCACTTGATAATATGGTCAAAAGAGGTAAAGCCAAGGAGAACGTAGAAGTGAACTTACAAATTTGTTCATCCACCTTGGAGCAAACATTTCGTTTACAGTGAAGGCATTGAACCCATAGGAAAGAGGTGAAACCCAATAGCCCCATCGCCACCAGTCTGGAATTGAGCCTGTTACAAGTAAAGCAGAACTTTCTCAGTGATTGAAACTTGTGAATAATCCCCCAGAAAGAGGACACCAAGATAAGATTGGAGTTCCTGAATGTTATTACTGAGACTAATGGTGTCAGCCTATCCGATGTACATATTCTATTACCTCCTTTCATTTTATCTTTTATTTTTAATTTGTAAAATTTATTGCCTTCAAGAATCAGCGCATTGTTATTGCTATATTATGTTGAATGGTATTATCTTCTACATGTTAATGATCTTGAACTAACCTCTAGGCAGGATGAAACCACCCAATAGGAACACAAGAAGGAGCATGAGTGCTCCACCAGTATTTGCAATAATCATAGTCCTACAAACTCCTGCAGTGAGCCTAAATAATCCAGCAGCCATTTGTTGGATCAGAAAAGTCAGCAGTGATTGCTTGAAGAACCTGAGCAAGAGAGAATACCAATAATGTTAATTTGTATACTCAGCCAAGGTATGCACATATCTCAATAAAACCACCAGCGACATATTATTTTAGAGTGCTGCATGCTTTGGCTAATCCTTTATATTATTGATGCAATAACTTTATCAGCTGTATTTGACATCTATTTAGAGATTCATATATACAATGAGAAAATGAGTGAAATGATTGTTGAGTTACCTGCTAGCTTCGGGGGCATAACCAATGGTATAGTATGTCATGACCATCCACACAATAGTCTCGAACACAGAAATTGGTACCTTTAGGAGCACAGTTGGTAAAGTGAAAGCCCAAGTTGGATGGAAGAGAAGGTCCCTATGCTTGTAAAAAACGGGAAGCCTCTGTATGATCATTGAGAGTTCAGAGAAACCGTTAAACATATTGATGACCATTCCAAATAGGAGTGCACCAACATAGGTAGCGCCATCATCAACAGTATTAGTGTGCATTTTGGTCCTCAAGAACACAGTTGATCCGATGAGTGCAACGATGATGATTTGCACGGTCTTGAAAACGTAAACAAAAGAGTTTCTCTTGATCAAAAGCCATTCCTTGTCAAAGTTTGTCTTTAGAAGCTCTAGTGTAGGGACAGTGTACTTCTTGAATATTAGAGCTGCTGGGTGACTTCTTGTTTTGTCATAGGGAACAGAGAGCTCATTTTCTATACGTAAGCCGACGTGGAAGCGCTTGAATCTCTTTGCAAATTCAGTTACTGAAATGTACTGGTATGGTCTCTGTCTATTTGCCCAGTACTGCTCTTGGTCCTTTCTTGAGGTAACCTATTCAACACGTTACATGTTAGATTATGCTGGAATTACAAATGGGATTTAACTCATATGCATTACAAATGGGATTTAACTCATATGCATTACAGTGTAAAAAGTATTTACACAATCAGCGTAATGCAACTTGTGATAGCAGGTTGTCTGCTTTATTTTCAGGTTACTAATCCACTTATTATGAGCTTGTTGCTTGCAGCCGCATCCATGTCATGACTTTTGGAGGATCTGACACATATCTAATGGTAGTATTTTCAAAGGATCCGAGCAACATAGATTATGAGTGGTTAGCTACCTACATTATCTTTTAGGTGACCTGAAAATAGGTTATTTAAAATGCATGCCAGTTAGCTTTTTAAGGTTCATTTAATGATTACCTCTTGCAAGAAGTCAGCAGTACCCTTTCTTTCCGGACATTTAAAACCACAAGTTTCAAAGAACTCGAGGACATGTTCACGTGGGCCCTGGTAAACAATCTGGCCTTCAGATAAGAGAATGATATCGTCAAAGAGATCAAATGTCTCAGGAGCAGGCTGGAGGAGAGACATCAAAACAGTGGCCTCAGTGAGATGTACAATCTGCTGTAAGCATTTCACTATCTGAAATGTGGTGGAGCTGTCCAGTCCAGTAGATATCTCGTCCATGAATAGTGTTTTTGTTGGCCCAACGATCATCTCACCTGCACCAAGCCTAACATTATTAGCCCATTACTATAGCCGATGAACGAAAAAATTTATTTTGTGCCTCACACAACTGGCACTAGGGGTGAGGCCTCTTTTTTGTCTCGCAATTTTGTGGAGCCAAAAAATATAAGATATGAGTCCACAAATTTGTGAGATAAAAAGAGGTCTCACACAAATAATAGCAGTTGTGTGAGGCACACCATAAAACTTCTCATATGATATTAAAAAGAATATAATTTCTGTCATTTTTCATTAGATGTCTACCATTCTTTTTTTATCTGTAATAAAATAAAGTTTAATTTATTTAAGAAGCAGTTATTAAAACTTTTGATACTAACAAATACTTTCTAGTTGTACCAAATTGCTACGAGTTTCCTTTTTTGTAATATCATGTTAAGGTTCTTTTAATTTCTTTTTCTTAGTTATATCGGTAGTTTAGGGAAAAAACTAAGTTTTTAATACTAGTTTCTATTATTATACGTTTCTTTAAAAGTTAAAGCTAAGCAGTAAATATGTTAGCAGGTCCACTACAAGTAAATTATAATGGACCAAATTAAAGCTCCACTTTAACATTTTCCAATTTTCCTATAAGCACGTTTTATTCTCATTTTGAGGTGTCGCGTAGGAAAGTAAAACTTATGCTTTTGAATGAGACAAAGTCTTAATTAAGACAGTCGATAATTCAGAATATAGTCAAATTAATTAAGTCAGGTGAAGCAGCTAATTTGGTGGTCATCCAACAATAAAGTGCGTTAAAGTCGCGCAGACTTATGTGGGAGACTGTGAGGTGTGGTTTGGTATGGCAAAATATTTCTAGATATAATCATGGGAGGACCTGTATTTAAACAAATTATATATATATTATTAATACAGCATAATTTAATCTGTTATAATAATTTATTAATTTTTATTTCCAAGTTATTAGATCGTATTTGTTATAGTCTGGTACTCGCTGTTGAAGGTAATTTATCTTGATAATATAAAAATATTATAGACTGTTAGTGGATATTATTTACACTCTTTTTACAAACTATTGTGGAAATGGTAAGGGAAAGGGAATTTAGAATTTAACCTGTAGTGACACGCTTCTTCTGGCCACCAGAAATGCCTCGTATCATTTCATCCCCAACAATGGTGTCCCGACACACATCAAGTCCCAAAATCTGCACATTTTTTAACTTTTTTTTAGTTCACCACAATTCCAACTGCAATATTGGTATATTTATTTCAACAACCAACGTTTTGTTTGTTTACCTAATACCGCTTTTTTCCACACAAAAAAAAAAAAAAATTCAAGCTATTTTTTTTCTTGTGCAGAAATAATAAGTTATAACCAATAATAAAAAAAATTCCTTTTCTAAATAGAAGTCAAATCTCAAAGACGTCAAAGGGCTGTGCTCAGTAGACTTAAACATCTGAACATTAGAGAGTTGGTGAGTGGAGACTTTTGACCCGAAAACAGAAAACAACGAAATTTCAAGAAAGGGTGGGAGGAAACAAGAAAGTGGTTAGTTCAGACACATCAAAACCTAATATTTTCAAAAGTCGATTACAAGTTGTAAGTAGATGCCAAATTCCCTCTTTTTTTTATTGCTTAATGAAACATAAAGTCAAAAAATAAAGAAATTTAGAAAGAAATGGTAGGGTCTTAGTCTCACCCTGAGTGTGTAATCAGTAATTAGGCTGCTTTCAACTCCCTCCATAGCAGTTGCCTAAATTACAACATTGAAAGAAACATCATAATGTTAGTATATTGTTGTGACATCACGTAAGGGATTAAAGAAAATACTATAGTAAATATTAAAAAAAAAAGTTTAATTTCTTAGATCATGAAAATGTGTCATATTTACAAAGTCACTTTTGGTTACCTTCATGAAAAGATCGATTTCAGCCTCCGGAAAGATTCCAGCATCCCTTTCTCTCCTTGCAAGCTCCGTCAGCAGTTCTAAGAATTTACATATACTTTTATAAGTAAAAACAAATACATATACCCTCACAAAATATAAAGAACTTGTAGTACTTTTTTTACTTTGATGTTGTATAACATTGACTGAAATGAGCTTAAATGGAGCGACAGTAATTAAAATTCAAATAACAGACACAACATGCTTGGGATTGAGAAGTAATACCATATCGAGAGCCGACCCCTTGGCATCTAGCAGAGAAATCAAGAGTTTCTTTAACAGTCATTTCAGCAACGTGAACATCATTTTGACTAATGTATGCCGATGTTTTCTGTGGTACAAATTCCTTTAATCCGTGCCCATTGTAAGTGATTTCTCCTCTAACCTGTTTCATAATTTTCATATAGTAATTAACATGCTTGTTTAATGTTCACAATTTACATTTACAATAAAATAATAGTATGAAATGGGAACGCAGCAAATAATTAATTAATTATAAGCATGATTAGAAGAAACTGACCTTTAAGGTAGGGTCTAATTTTCCAGCCAAAGCCAACAGAAGGGTCGTTTTCCCAGAAGATGGTGGACCTAATAAAAGAGTCATCCTGTGGAGATTGTGTTTACACATTTTTACAAAGAAAAGTCAGCATGGGATAATACGTACCCTTTGACAAATTGGATGCTTCTCATTTTCATAAAGTAAATTAAATACTCTAGCTTGTTTGGCATTGGAATTTTAAATAATAGTATATGACAAGAAAATTGAATTTATTACTATGTAATAGTCTATAATTAGTAGCATGCGGCTATAACAATTAAAAGCAGCATAAGAGGTCAAGTAAGAAGGCTAACGAAAATATTAATAAGAATTAATTACCTAGAGGGTTTGATTATTCCAGAAGCATCTTTAAGGATGGTAAGTTTTGTTTTCTCTGCCAAATTAATTCCAACACAACTCAAAGCTGATTCAGCAATATTTCTGGCAGCATTAGGTAGCGTAGGAAGAGCTCTGTCGCCGATATAGCAATCTGCCTCTATAGTTAAATGCTCGTACCGAACTTCTACTGTAGGAAGTGTTATCCCAACTCTGCAACCACACAATCATATATATGCAATTAACTTTAAGTAAATTATCGAAATTAATTTAGAAGTTTACTAGATTTTAATACGAGTTTAACTTCTGTACACAGACAGTATAAAAGATAATTCATCATACTATCAGTCACCTAAACAACATTCATAATTAATCGCCCAAAAATGAATGTAATAACATAAAAATTAAGACAAATTACATGCTAGAACAAGTCAAAATACAAATTTTAGTTGTATACCCCACAAGTTAGGGCATTTTTTAAATATTATATGCGAGGACGTGTTGAAGTAGTTGACCGAAGAACTTTTTTCCTCGATGGTTTGTCAGAATACACGTAAGGATGGAGACAACGTATTCGGCAATCAGCATACTTAGCTGTATTGACTTTTTGGTAAATGGTTCGTACATGCCTTCATTGATTCCTAAAGCTACACGACTTGATCACCGTTTCTAATTAATTTTTCGTCTTTTCCTTTGTTTTAACATAAAAAACAAGATGATTTGAGGCAAGTGTAATCTGCATTAAGTTTGCAAAACAACCACAAACAACAAACCAAATATGTCTCAATTCTCACATGCAAATTTAATTCGACTATATAAATTCTTGATATTCAGGTCGCTTCATTTAAAACTTGTCATAGTCCAATAGTACTATTTAACTATAAGTAAGACTTTAAATAAAATAAAAAATGTATGTTTATTTGTGAATAGAGCGGTTCAATAATATTGGTTTTGGGTTTGTTAGGTTACAAAAGCATATTCCCTTCACATGACTTAGAAAAACAAAAGCAAGGATTTGGTTAGCGCAAGTTGCAAATATTATGATGCAATGCATACGGAAGAATCGATTCATAAAATGTGTGACATGATTTGTAGTCGTTGGAGATTTGACTCATTCTTATAATTAAACCGAAGACACTTGTATAACAAAGATAACTTCACCAACCCATCCCACCCACAATAGAAATAAAAAGATATTTTTCATCAAAATGAAAATTAAAACATCCCTCTCTTGCCTACAGCTCTACGATCACAATCATAATCGATCGCTTCATTAGTAGCATAGTTGTAACGAAGTTATGTAAATTAAATTACTTTACCATATATATATATATATATATATATATATATATATATATATATATATAGAATCCCTTTAAGATAAGCAAGGGTGAAGCCACCTTTTGCTAAGGGTGGTCAATATTGCAAAAAATTATATGATGTATATAAGTAAAATATTAATTTTAGAAGTATAAAATATATATTAAATACCCTTTATCGGAAATTTTTTGTTACTTCTTTTAAGTCTGGACACCCTTGAAAAAACTTCTGGCTTCGCCACTAAAGATAAGGAAATTGGAAATTATTTTAGGTCACAAGTTCGAATTTCATATGTATCAACTTTTTTTCTAAAATTTACTTGTTAGAATTTCTTACTCTTTTAATAGTCCCAAACTTCTTCTCCTTCATTCTAATGAACTTACATAGATAAATAGGTAGTATTTAATATTAATATCTTATGCTGTAATGACTAGAGATTATCGGTCTTGATTACTCCCCAAGATAAAAGGAGGATATAGAAGTAAATTTATTTATTTACAGGTAGGAGCAAATCTACCCTGCAAAGCAACTTCTCGCTTATTTCCATTGCAGGGGGAGCAAAATTTCACGTAAAGTAGAGAAAAATTAAGGTTTTTTTTTTTTTTTTTCACTTTTAGCCTATGGCAAAAACTTTTTATATTCGATTGCTCAAAAAGTATAAACTTTATATATATATATATATATATATATATATATTCGGCCATTATTTGGAGAGCGTGATTTCCCCAAAAATTAATACTGGAAACTTACTTGTCAATTCGATTTCTGAACTTCCTGAGGAACTTTTCATTATCTTCCTCAGCAACCCTGAAAAATCGATCAATGAACTCTTGTCGCTCATTCATTCCCAGATTCCGAACGTCAACTTCCTTATGAACAACTTTTTGGTTTCCCTGATTATTCTCACTTTCCATGACCGATTTAAGGACCGTTTTTCTCAACCGATCGTAAGTCGGTAATTTCTCTAACGCAGCCCACGTAAGAGCTTCTTCATCTTCTTCGCCACGAGTGCTTCTTCTGCTCGGCATTGGATTGAACACATCTTCTACATTCCAATTTGCTCTGCTTCTGCTTCGACTCATCGTTCTGCTCATACTACTCCTACTACTCCCCAGCCTTCTCGGTCCCCCGTTTGCCTCCATTTTCACAAAAATCTCTTAATTTCTCCTTTTCTCCGCTTTAGAAATACAATTTCAAACTCAATTGGATAAATTAACACGACAAATTGTTAATTGAACAAAGAATGCAGAAAAACAGAGCAGAGAAAGATGTTTTTATGCGACTCGCATAAATGGAGAATTGAAGAGAGGGGATTTCTCAGGGGTTTGGTGGGTCAAATCTGAATAAATTTTGTTTTGTGAATTTGTGTTTGATTTTTTCTTACGAGTTTTAATTGAAAGGGTCTCACGCTCTTCTGGTTGTGAAGACGGAGTTTATGATCTAAGAAAAGTTCGTGCCTATTTATATATCAAAATTCAAAAGGGGATAGGTGACAATAGTTGTGTGATATATACTTTAGTATATATTTTTCTTTCACATTTTGTCTCACCATGTGTTATTTTAGTTGTTATTATCTACTTGCTGGTTTTGAAATTATAATTAGATTACACGTTGATAAAATTATTTAATAATATTAATTAATTGTTAAAAAATTTGGTTAAATTATTCTTATCTCTTCCTTAAATAAGAAATTAATGATTATATGCCTTTTTAAGTAGAAGGGTGGTTTTAGAAAAAAAATATTAATGCTATTTCCTTAGAGCACAGATAGTATAATGTTCGCCTAAAACGACAAATAGATAGACTAGAGGGAGTACATTTTTTATGGCGCTTTGTTTTATTATAGGCGGAGCTATAATATTAGTTACGGTTCCGGACGAACTAAATAATTTTTACTTAGATCTTGTATTTATATCAGGAAATTTATTAAATATAATATATTAATAGTTAATTGTAAATTTAATAACTAAAATGACATTAGTGGTAAATTCAGAAGCTGTAAATCTCAAATCTCTCTATGTTTAACCGTTTCTTATTTCATTTATGATGGATTTTCATTATGCTTGTCTTGAAATTGTAATAGATTATCTAAGGCAAATATATTAAAAATATATTTCCAATATCTTTTTATGGGTTTGACAGGTTTGAATTCAAATATGAAGGCTTAGTCCACTTGCAAAATAATGCTTCAATGGATTGGGTTGGTGAGGATGGCTACACAAGTTGACAACTCATCTGGTCAACGTAAATTTACACTGCTTCCTGGAAATTATGTAAATAGTATTTTTTACGTGCATGTTTGTAGATTAGCTGCATGCTTGTATTAATTATTTCAAGTATACGTAAGATAAATGGATACAACTTGCTCTATAAAAACTTTTATAATTGAAAGGACAAGATCAAATAAGCATGTAGCTTTCCTCCTGTTCGAAACATTAAAAATTATCCTCTGTACAGAAAAATTAAAAATATGTGAAGTGACATATTGTTAGGGGTGTGCATTCGATTTAAAGATTCGATTTTGACCCTTATCGATAATTACTTATCGATTATCGATTTGTACATATGCTTATCGTTATCGTTTCAATAAGGTTTCGATTTTTTCGATTTCGATAACAAATAATCGATTCGATTTATCGATAAACCGATTCGAATGCACACCCCTACATATTGTGAACTTGTTCTTAAAAAGGTTTAACGATTTAACCACGGTAAGAGAGTATTTTCTTCATATTTTTCGAATTATGCTATATACATTGACAATTTAAGAATTTGTTTAATATTATTAGTGAAAGATTAGTTACTATACCATATTATCAAGTAATGTTTATCAAGAGATTTACGTGTAAATAAATTTAATTGTATAAATATATTTATACTGTCACATATGTATTGAGGTGTAAAAAGTGTTACCACGCTCAAGTGACTTAATAAGTCAGGTAATTATAGCTAAATTTCTTGATAAACATTAACTTACCTATTACCATAGTTTAAAATTCATTGACTATGAACATAATTCAAATCCGATTTTTTAAAAAACCACATAGAGATAATTAAGAGAAGGAGGAAATGGAATCAGTCGAACCCTACCAACATGGAGGAAGTAATTTGGGCAACCCACGAAGCCAGCTATCATAATTAATTCAAGTAATGCAACATTGACTGATTCAATAGAAAGAACAAATTGATGGTGTCTGGTAAATGAGCAAATTAAATTTGAAACTGAATAGATTAGATAGATTTCAGAAAAGTCCTATTGTTGGTTCTAATTAATTTTATTCGAGAATAAAAAATAGTTAAATTGATTGACTGACTGAGTCTGCTAGCCGGGCAGCTTTAAAACTAGTAATTCGAATTTTGGAACAGTAGCATACTTTAACTTTCATAAAAAATTTAAAGCTTACCAACAAAAATTATGTGGTAGAGTGTAAAGTATTCTCGACAGAGATTTGAATCGAGCCATGTATAGAGTCGTATTTATTAGAGAGCGTTTTACCTCCAAATGTCACAATCCGACTTTAGTCGGGTCCAATCCGGATTAGAAACAAAATACTACTTAAAGCTTAATTTCTCAATAATTATGTTATTAACTTGTACCGACGTCTGCATCTACAACAAAAACAACAGAATATATGTATTAAACAAACCACCACATGGCATTCGTTTGGTGACTGGATTCTCTATCCACTATGATGACAATGCTAACTCATGTGAATCTAATAGTTCATCAACGTTTTATAAATTGGAACATATTTATGTCATAATGAATTTTAAAAGAAATGAGAGAAGTATCATAATTGATAATTGCTGAATGTTCTGCTTTCTCTTTTTTCCCAATGGTTTCTTTCATTTTCTGTTAATCATTTAAAGAGTACAACATTTAATATTAAAACATGCCTAAACCAGCAAAAGTGGACCTCAGATTCTAGAACACTACAAGCGAAAAAACAAACCCTATTTTAATCTAAAGCTAGTTCTCATTATTTTGATATATGAGAGGGATTTAAGATCCCATAACTTGCCTTTCCGTCCTACTATCCCTAATGAGTAAATGCATTATGTAGCACCTGAAGAGCCCATCACCAAAAAAAAAAAAGTTTGATTTCGGGTGTGTTTGGTATGAAGGAAAATATTTTCCGATTTTCCCATGTTTGGTTGGCTTAAATGTTTTGGAAAATATTTTCCTTATGAACTCATTTTTCTCCAATTGGAGGAAAATATTTTCCTTATCAAGAGAAGGGAAAACATTTTCCAAAATTTCTTCTCAACCTTTCCTATCCTCACCAACCCACCCATCCCCTTTCTCCAAAAAAGGTTTTTTTTCTTTTCAAATTTCAATTTTTTCGTTACCACCCACCCTACTACCCCTCCACCCTACCCACCCTCACTCCCCATCCCCCTCCCGCTAAAAAAATATTAGTTTTTTTTACCTTAGTTTTTTTATTGCAATTTCAAATTTCTGTTTTTCGTTTTCTGCACCACCCCCCTCCCGCACTAAAAAAATGTTTTTACGTTTTTTTTTTAATTTCAAATTCTAGTTTTTTTTCGTTTTACTTACCCCCCCCCCCCCCCCCTAAAAAAAAAAATAGTTTTTTAATATATTTTTCAGTTTTAGTTTTTTTATTTATCGGTTTAAAGGTTCAAAATTTTACAAGTTCCAAAGTTATGAGTTCGGAGGTTTATGTTTGGAAGTTTACGGGTTTAGAAATTATATAGTTTACGAGTTAGAAATTCCGCGATTTCGAAAGTTTATGAAAAATGTGGGTTCGGAAGGTTGTTGGCTTGAAAGTTTATGGCTTCATGTTTATTATATCTAAATTATTTATGAATACTCTTGAGAAGTCATTTTCCTTAATTTGCGTACCAAACACCGGAAAATGAATAAGATTACTACTTGTTTTCCAAGAAAATATTTTCTTGAAAAATATTTTCCACGGAAAATATTTTCCGTTATACCAAACACACCCTTCATCTTGAAATATTGTTCCTTTCATTTTGCCATCTCTTTGCTACTGAAACTTAATTTTTATCAATTTCTTCTATAACTAGATCTTAATTTTGGCAGAGGTGTTTAGGTAGGACATAGCATAACTCCAGCTTAGTGATTACATAACCCTTGAGAGGAAGATGTGGAAGGCGAGAATTAGGGTGGAAGGTTAGTAGATAGTCCAGTATCTCTTTGCCATACTAGTAGCTTTAGTATTATTCTCGTATTTTCTTATCCTTAGATTTCTATTACTATCTGTTGTTTCTTTTGCACGGTTATCTTATTATTTTGATGTTGATACTGCTTCTTTTTCATGGCTTTTTCACAACTCCATTTCTTTTAAGCACTGATATAACTGTGCTTAGCTTGAGCCAAGGTTCTTTTGGAAAATAGCTAGCTTCTCTACTTTTGCAAGGTAGGAACTACAAACTGACACATACGTGCAAACTGACTCTGACAGCGCTATCATTAAAATAAAATGAAGGGACCAAAAATGGATGGAGCTTAGATTATGAGAAAATGTCACGACCCGAAATTTCCACCCTCGGGATTGTGATGGCGCGTAACATTTCACTTGCTAGGCAAGCCAACGTTAGCTATACTTATTACCCATTTTTAACAATTCAATTCAAATAATAATAACAAAACCGAGTAATCTGAAATAATGTGATAAACTAATAAATGACGTAATCCAAATATAATTTCAGAAACTGGTGTAACGAATACATGAGCGTCTAGAATGTACAAATAATGGTCTGAATAAAACACAACTGTTTGAAGCAAAATAAACAGCTACATATAATTTATGGAACATATTTATATCATAATAAATTTTAAGGAAAATAGGAGACGATGTATCATAATTGATAATTGCTGAATGTTCTTCTTTCGCTTTTTCGCCGATGGTTTCTTTCATTTTCTATTAATCAAAAGAAGAAAAATAATCCTTCAAAAGAACACAACTTTAAAATTAAAACATGCCTAAACCAGCAAAAGTGGACCTTAGATTCCAGAAGAATACAAGCAAAAATCAAGGGCCTAATTTAATCTAAAGCTAGATCTTATTATTTTGGTACATGAGAGCATTGGCCACTACAAAAAAATGCTTATTTTGTGGAGGTTATTTTGACAATTTGTGACAGTTCTCAACCTCCACAGAATATTTGCGGCGGTTTTAAAAAATGCCACAGTTATGAGTGTCACGAGCAATATTAAGGCGATTTTATAAAACCCCCACGACGACCCCCGCAAATTGAATTTTTAATTTGTAGGAGTTTTCTTAGACAATTAATGGCGATTTATAGCCTCCACAAAATATTACCAATGTTTAAAAAAAAAATTACTTATGGGGGTTTATAACCCCCTTAATATGGTCTCGCTGTTCAAAACAAATAATGTATTGTGAAATTAAATAAATAATTTATTGAATAACTTATAACATAAATCAAACTTCATTACAAACAA